GTTCCTTGACAAGTCTCTTCTTTTCCAGATGTATAGGTTCCCTATAAATCAGCCCATCTTGGAAGACTGGATATCCTTGTGTGCGTTGGATAGGAATAGGAGCCTGGGAATGGACAACTAAATTGATGCTTAGCCATATTTAAATACTCTCACTTATACCATACATGTACTTCTGTGTGTAATACTTTGACATGCATGATCCAAATAGCAGTCAGAACACTTCCACTATATTCGTTTTTCCTCCAGTTCATTGCATAACTTGACATACGTTAATTGCAACACAAGGGTCGTCTAACTGATTTTTGTCATATTTAATGGAGAACAGAAACCTATAATATTAATGTCTGAAGAGAAGCATGTTGCCTGATGTTTAAAAGACTTATTTAGTCCTTTGTCATTTGTGCCCAGAGATTTATTAGTCATGGTAATGTTTCCAGTTAGTTGAAGGACAGAGAGCATAATGGGGGCACTTTTTTGCCTAATTGCTGGTAGCTATGTAAATGCAGTTTACTGTTGAGTTTATGAGGGTAGCTGAAGTATTACAACAACAAGCTTCTTAAGAGGTGAGGTCTCTTTCTTATTTATAAAATCATTAAAATCAGAATTAGCACCTGCATTAATAGACATAAAGTAGCACTGTGCCATGGAACGGAAATGTTTTAATGTTTGATGATGTATTTTTTTTCTAAATCATAATCTGTCCAGACATTCTGAAAAAGACAGTGAGTGAACTTAGCTGGAACAAATATATTTTACAGTAAATGGAGAGATGATCAAGTATTATGTTCTGTGTATAGTGAAATAACCTTTAGATGAACTTGGAAAGGAAAAGAATTCCTCTTTAATTAAGCTTGCCTTTCTTCTTGGGGTTGTGAAAGAGACAGGATAGTGCTACCATTAAAGTGGGAATGGAGTTAATTGACATTAATCTTCATAGGTTTCTTAGATTTGTTTTAATGGCAAAAAAGTAAAAAGGTCCTCAGCCCAAGTTAACTGTGACTAAATAATTGAATGGCATACCTGAATTTAACATTTCATTTTCTGGTTTGGAATGAAGTTTGCTGCCTTCTGTTTTTCCTTCTATCCTGTTCCAAACCCTGGAGAAAATGCTGGAGATACCCAAAAACTTGGTAAAAGATTAACAGTTCTGACCCATCTTGTTTTCTAAAGTGAGTGTTTCTTTATAGAACATGGTCAAGCAAGGTCGATTAACTGATAACAGCATCTCAACTGATTCTGCAGACTTTTTACATCTGAAGGGATTTCTATTCTTTAAAACAAACTAATTCAAATCTGTTTAGCATGGCAAATGTTGGTAATTCAGATTCCTAGAAGTGAGTATGTACACAGTGCCTGTCCTGTTGCTTTCATATGACTAGGTGCTCTTTTGAGGGAGCTTTGTGCAACTCCTCCCAAACCAACTGGATTGACACTTCAAGTTGGCAGGTGGTGTGCTCTGCTTCATTGGAGGGTGTACAAAAGACTTTCTCTATATTCTGGTCATTACCTTATTCCATCTAGTATCATTCATTCTTAGCACAGTCTTGCTGCACGTCAGTGGCTGTGGTTTAGGAATGTAGAACTGGGTGCCATCACATTTCAGAGATACTATAGTCTTTACTGCACACTTGGTGGTCTTGGGCATGTTTTAAAGACAAGTTTAGAAGATGGTATTCAGCTAGTGAGATGGGTTGATCTCAGTCGATCACCTGTGAAAAGGCTGGTGAGATAGGAATAGAGTAAGAATAGCTGTTTTCACCATGTAGAACAGCAATAATTCAGGTCTTCCACACGTTTGGTTACATCATTATCTGATTCATGTTGGTTTCTTTGCCAGTTTAGCAAATGGGTTAGTGAGTCACAAGCTCCTGTTGGTCTTGTGTACTAGTACAGAAGTAAATTGTGTTTCTTTTCATGCGGTTGGCACTTCTTTCAGGGTACAATATTTCCTGGATAAAGTCAAGTAGTTCCGTGTAAATAGTCAGAAATGCGCATTTTAAATCAAGACTTGTCAGACACCAAGTAAAGAAATGTTGCCTCTAATAAAACTATCTTCTTAAATGGATTTATTTACTGGTGCCTGGAAAAATCACTCAGATGTTGGGATGGAATTTTTCCCTCTCCCCCTGGAATTGAATTAATAGCTTTCTGTAAGCTGTCATTGTATACCTATTTGTAGTTCAGAGTTTTAAAATTGGAGGAGGACTAGACATACCCCAGTTCAGTAAGACAGAAAGTAAAAAAATGAAAAGTAAAAATCTGAAATCTGTTTTTATTTGCATTTTTCCTTCTTGTTAATTTCCAGTTAATTTAAATATATTAAATCATAGAAAAGAGCCAAGTGGAGATCAGGTTGCTCAGAGATTTTGCAGCTTCCATTTTTGGATGTCTGCAATAACCAACCTGATCAAGCCATGAGCAACCTGCTGTGACCTCAGAGCAAGCCCTGCTTTGAGCAGGAGGCTGGACTAGAGAGACCTCTCATGATCTCTTTCTGACGTGATTTGTCCTGTGAATCTATAAATAAAATTAAGGACTCTTTGAAATGTCAAGATATTCAAGTGACTGTGAGTTGAGGTGTTGTGGTTGTAACTCCTGTTTGGTTTAGGTGGTCATGGCTTGACCTCTTGTACTTTCCATTTTGGCTAAATCTCTGCTGTTCTTAATAGCATTGTGGAAAAAAACTTTAAAGCAGAACAAAGTAGTGTCATAATCACTTCAAATTCTCTGCAAATAACTGGGCTGATCCAGAGAATCAAGTGCCCTGTATATGTAAAGAACTCTGTTAATTTCACTATACTTTCTACTGTTTATGGGATGGAAGGCAAAAAGAGGAAGGTCAGTTTTGAGGTGGTTATGTGTCTTTCCTTGGGGAGCTAGTTATAAATTAACTTTTAACTCCTCATCATCTTAATGCCTCTGGGAAAAGGCTGGGATTGCCTCTGCATTCTGAGAAACTCTAAGCTAATTTATAAAGTAATTAGGTGCCAAAAAGTGCAAGCAGACCATAAATAGATATAATAATAATAATAATAATAATAATAATAATAATAATAATAATAAAAAAGATGTGTGGCAGCAACACATGAAAGAAATAGGTAGCTCTGAGGGAGAAAGAGTGTACATTTACAAAACTTAGCTTCCTAGTTCTAGTGCTCCCATTAGTGGGATCCTGCTAATGGGAAATGTTAAATATTTAATATCTGACATTTCTCTATGTAGTGCAGTAAAGATTAAGTATTTTATGGTGCATTTCAATTTAAAAGAATGAAAGCACTTTTCAGGCTGTTACAGGGAAGCTGTCAGTGAGCCTTGTATTTAGACTGCGTATTACTTTCTGCTATAATAGACTCTTTCAACTTGTTTGCAGCAAGCTAGATGTGAAAGCTCTGATAGCTGAGCAGTGCCTTTTGTTCATCCTCTGGAAACCTATTGAGCTGTGGCAGGGTTTCACTTCCCAAATTAAGTAGGCATGCCAAAACCACTGAGAGTTTCCACAGCCATGACAGTTTTGATTTTCAGTGAGACTTGCTAGTGTTATCCAAGAGGTGATGCCTTTCTATTACAGACTGGTTTGAGGCATTCCCACAAAGGGCTGCAGTAAAAGGCAGGCATGCCTTCTCTCACTCTGTCCTTTCCTGACTTTTTCTGTCCTTTCTTCACATGGAACATACTGGTGGTCTTCTTTCCTGTAGTAAATCTGCTGAAAATTTTCACTCTTAGTTTCGAGGGCAGCATATGTCTGTGTAATTTAGAAGCCCTTAATAAAGCAGTAACATTTTTAGTTTTGGTGTACAATGTGAATTGGCACAAGGATAGTAATTTAATTCCTTTCTTTTACTGGAATATTGTGCTTGTCTTAACATTGGATCTGATTTACAGGGGCTGCATGTTTTCTGTAATTGCTAGCCAGTGCCCATTTGTGAAGGTAGGTTGTGTGACTGTTAGTTAGTGCTGTCAGTCTTGAGTAGTTTGCCTGACCTCAAGCCCATAGCATTTCCTTGAAATAAACTGGATGAGTAATATAGGTTGCAGTTTTTAGCAAATAAAATGGAGGAATACTGAAGTCCATACTCATTTGATTGAAATGGGAAGAAAACTACTTTCAGGCATTCTTTGACCTTCTGGTGATATCTGAGTGAATTTGCAGATGCAACCAAGATATTGCAATTTTTTTTAATGATCTAGGGATTAATTGTCTACTGCTGCTTATCTAATTAAAAGATAGGTAATAAATGAATGTTTAATTATTTCCCTTGTACAATTGTTTAATCTTGATAAAATAGGTAGCTAACAAATGGTCTGAAAATGGTGTACCATTCCTTTCAGTTAACTATACCATGTATTCATACAGATATATAATTGGCATATGAGTGCACCTTCTGCTTCTGCTAACGCTTAGTTGTAGCACATAGGTGTAATGTTTGCTTGCTTAAAATGTGAATGGAGTTTATTAAGTATACAAGTCTTATTTTTTGACATCATATAACAAAGGCTACTAGGAAGGAGATTCTGTTGATGCTCTTTTAAGTAGCATGCAATAGGTATGCTGTTATGAAGATGAAGCATCTCTTAGAGCATCTCTCAATATCAGCATCATTGTTTGGAAAAAAAATGCATGTAGGGAAAAGCTTTGGAATAGCACTTTTGTTTTAAAACAGGAAAAGGCTGATGGTAAGATGATGCCTGCTGCTGCTTTTGTGGGTTTGACTCATGGCTTGAGTTTTTCTATATGGGTGATGTGTAAATGCCTCTATTAACACACTCTCCACCATCATAAAACAAAATGTTGGTAAATATATCTAGTGTAAATAAGGGCCTGCTTCTTTTGGCACTAGAATGCATTTGTGTTTGCACAAACTATTCTAAGTAGTGTTCAATATTTTTATCTCTTTCTTCTCCAACTCTTGTTTATTCAGTTTCACCGTGTCTTGTGTTTTTCCAAACCTTGGTTGTTTTTTTTTTTTGTTTTTTTTTTTTTTTTAAATCACACAACATAGAGCTGATAAAGCAGATGATGAGGACGATGAAGATCTAATGGTGAATAAAACATGGGTCCTTGCACCAAAGATTCATGGTGGTGATGTAACTCACATATTGGACTCCTTACTTCAAGGATATGACAATAAGCTTCGGCCAGATATTGGAGGTAAGCTCATAAAATGATTCTGTGCAATAGAAAATGTGAACTGGAGATGGTGTGCATTTGTCAAAGATGGCAAAACTATGCTTATTCCAATATCTGAAATTCAATATAGCAAGCTAAATATAAGAGTAATAAAATACAGTCATTTTCTGGAACTAGTAAAAAAATGTTCTGTGCAAGATAAGACTTCATGTTCTATTTATAATCTCTTTTTTTTTTTTCTTATGGAGGATACTGGTTTTGGGGAACAGTGAGCAATCTGTAATAAATCACTAAAAGGCAATTATAATTTGCTTTGTTTAACAAAGATCTTCTGTCAGAAAGAATTGTAGATATAAACCAGCCATGGTCATTTCAAAAATTGATCTTAAGTCTTTAGGGCTTCATTAAAGAATTATCCCTAGACATTTTATTCTTACTGTAAGAAATTCATTGTGTCTATTTTGAGCAAATATAACTCAACTCAATTGTCTTCTTCCCTTAGCTAAGCTTTTGAAAAAAAAATTCAAGAGTCTAAAAATATAACTTAGGAGCCATTTTTTAATGGAATATAGGAAGAAAAACTGCATTGCTATAGATCAAACTTTGCAGCTATATGAAGGCAATTTTGTCTTCCAATAGTCAAAGCATCAATTTGCATATAACTATTAAGCATAAATACCTGGAAGAATCTTGTTTTGAAAACATGTAGTACATGAAACTGTGCCAGCTCCTTGTCTGCAGGATCAAATAAGAAAAACAGTATATTTTCTCTTGGTTTGTTTCCTGAAATGTGAAGGAAGAGGTGGAGGACATAAGTATTTGTGATGTACCTGGCATTCCCTACCAAAGGAATGCCATGTAAGTCTGTAAACAGCACCAAAATCTAGACCTGTTTCATTTATGTATGGGAAGAAAAAGACACAGTCTCAAATTATGCCTCTTCCTTTGAAAGCTTCTGACAAATTGTTTTCTTTCCCAAACTTCTTAGTTCTGTTTTATTGGTGACTGTTATCTTAGAGATGTTGAAAGGCAATAATTCTCTCCCTGTCATAATATAATCACATATGAATCTCATAAAGTTTGGTTTAAGTCTTTTCCTTCATGTTCATTTAATTGAATTACTAAAAACATTTAGACAACATGAAAAGTCCTCCAGCATGTTTTTCCTTAAATTCTCAATGTGTGACAAATGTATAGCTTACTGTTGGTTTTTCCCTGTTTGATGCAACAGACAGAAAAGTGATTGTGAGGAAATGAACTGTCTCTTCTAGGATTCCTTCTAATGATTAGCTTGTAGGTGGGGATGAAAGAAAAGAGAATTCTTTTTCTCTTCTCTCCCCATAAAACTTACAAGTAAATGGAACAAATACAGAGGAGGAATTTATTCTGACATGTCAAATGCATTTAGATGGGCATGGAAGAATAGTGATGTAATTCTTATCTTTATTTTTCTGGTTATATTCTGAGTCATGATAGAACAAGAACTGTCTGTTTGTGAGTAACTCAATGTACAGCTTTTTGGATTCAAAATACCAGTTCCCAAAAGAAGACACTTAGTTCTAGCTTCTCTCTCATAGATGTACCTCTTCTCAAAAGTTCTGTACCAGTGTGACATTTGCTATCTGAGGCCTGCATCCATCCACTATACTGGAACATAAAGTTCATGCATAATCAGCCAGAGTATAGAAAAAAGGAAACATTTGGGAGTATTCTCTTTGTTTTGATGAAATGTTAAGTATGATTCTGCCACAAGGAAGACATTTTGGACGACATAAGATGAAATTTCTGACTTCAGGTGAAAGCACTGCATTCTGTCCAGTTGTTTGGGAACTGCAGCAGATATTTGACAGAAAAACAAAATCAGGCTGTAGTTTATTCATGTTAATCTGCTTCAAATATGTGGATAAAATCTGGTGTCAGATTCCTTTCTTCAGAGTGTATGTCAGTTCTTGTACAACAAGGTTATTGAACTGGAATTTTCATTATCTTTCAAAACATTAGAATCCCACAGAACATTCTTACGATTGAATTACAAAGCTCATTTACAATAGCAACATTTTTTGTTTTGAACTTGGACTGTTTGGGTTTGAATCCCAGAGCAGAATTTAGTTTTCTTCCTGGTATTGACACGGAATTTCAGCATCTCACAGTGAGATAAGAGTTTCATTGTTGAACATGCAGTTAGCTGAGGGACATGCTAAAGAAGAGCCAAATGAAAATTGGAAATTTGGAGGCAATACTGAAATTTAGTAGGGGAAAACCACTCTGTCATTTTCTGTTTGTCTCATTCAAATATCCATGAGTTGTATTAATTACTTCACTTCTTCCCTTTGCTGTGTTTAGTGATCTTACTGACCTTTAACTCAATTTATGTAGTAGACTTGAGGTGTTTGGAGCACAAATGTTCTAGCATTCTTCTACTCAGTATGGAGTAATAGTAGTTATCAGATAAAGTCTCCTGTCTGTGGTATAAATATTTTTAATTACAGATACAACCTTGGAGTGTTGATATACTAATAAAGCAGTACTATTCTCACTGTAACATTACCTTCTGGGTGCATGATTTTATAACCATACTGTTTCAACTCTAGTCCTGCATCAAAGTAGCTATTATTTTTGAACTTTCCTTCTTAAAGGAAAGAATTCTGGCTTCTCATTTTTCACCTCTCTCATCCTAGGGGAACTGATACATTAATATTAGCCTATCAAGGTACAGATAATTTTTTCCAGCAGTGATGTGTGTATGTGCGAAACACAACTGCACTATCTGAAAATTTAATTAAAAATAGGAAACAGTCATCACATATCTACCACTTTAGTGAGTGTTTTCATTAACAGTTTAAGACAGCTCATCATTGATGGAAATTTTAAGAATGGTGGGAATTTAAGGATAATTACTCATGGACGTAGAAAAATTGAATACCTAGAGAAATGTGGATAGTTGTTACTACCCTATGAGCAGAACAAGGGTAAATAATTACATCTCTCAAGTGCACTAATGTGAATAGTGATGTTCTAAGAGATATAAAGAATATATGGAAAACACAGGACTTTCAAACAGAAGTGCTGATTCTCAAAAAATAACTGTATTAGAAAGTATTCTGTTGAACACGTGCTCCTGGTGTAGCAGTGATGAAACTATGATACAGGCAGAAAAGTAATAAGCACACAATGATGCCTAAAGAGTTTTAGATTTTTATATATTTTTCGTATATTTGTAACTTTGCAGACTGTTAATGCATAGTTATAACTTCTAGTACTTTTTCTGACTTCTCCCATCTTTTAGCTAACTCTTACTAATCCATTCTTGAAATTCTGTTTGTTAGTCTAGCAAGGACACTTTATTTTGCACCATACACTGTAGACACAATAACATGCAGGGCTAAAACATTGGGGCAGAGTGGGGGGGGATGCTCCAGTGGGGCAGAACCCAGAGTAAACTACCTAACCAACTGTTCTTCTAATTGGACAATATTTGTTAGATATACTAGTTAAATAACCTTATAAAAATTGTAGAAATACTGCATCATGTGTGCATATTGCTATGTTGTGTCACTGTGAATGCTTTCTGTTAAGGACTTGCTTTTACATTTGCATTTTAACACTCTTTGGAACGGTCTTAAGTTTTATTCCAGGCAGCAAAACAATAACAAAATACGAGTTAGAAAGTAGAGAGAGATTTATTTTGAGTTTAAGAATATTTTCCAATATTCCAAATTGAAGAAAATCAAAATACAAGAGCAAAATGGAGAAACACTTATTCAGGGAATGTTGAAGGTATTGGACATGTGCACTGCATAGAAAATCATGGAAATAATAAAAGTGGAGGGGTATCTGCAAAAGATGGATTGCTTTTAAATAGAAGGGTAAAAAATTTAGACGACAGGGCTCTGCCTTCATCAAAATCACTTTGAAAAAATTCTTCAGAGGTTGACTTGGAAGCCTGCTGTAGACACGTGAGGCTGAATTTTCAATATAATAATCTTAGATAGCTGATTGTGAGAATTGTATTATTTCATTAAAAACTATTACAAATTGAAGGACTTTGTTATTTCTGAATATGGTAGTCACCAAATTTATTTGCTGAGTAACTGCTTTATCACTACAGGGGATGCTTCTTTAGGCAAGTAATGAGGAGTTACAGAAAACATGCTTAAAGAAAATAAGCCTGGATGAAGTTACAAAAGTGGTCTTAGTTAAAGAGCATAAGAAGTATTAATTAAAAACAAAGGTGATGTGACTTAGACCTTCACTAGAAAATGAGGGAATTGTGGTAAACTATGGGGTTAGTGTATTTAGATGGACTACCATGCTCTAGGTTAATGTATTGAAGTAATGAATTGGAGGAATGAAAATAGCAGAATTAAGCAATAAAAAGTGCAATGTTATGGACTTTTACAATAATTATAATTATTTGTGTCAGGAGATAGGTGTTTATAGAATGAGAATAGCTGATAAGAAGAGCTCTTAAGTGTAGCAAGAAGAGATATATCAAATATTAAAAGCTGAAAATTGAGCCCGTAAAAATATAGGCTAAAAACCAGGCACTTTGAACATCAGGGGCAATTACTAAAATAATTTGTCAATGATTGAGATAGATTTTTATTGCTATGATTTTTCTTATCAGGAATAAACATTTTTCAAATTTTTAAAACCAGAAGAAGTTTAGTCTAGCAAAAAAAAAAAAAAAAAAGAAAAGTAAAAGAAGGAAATCAAAAAGTGAGTATACCTCTCTGTCTTGGGCTTACCAAACAGGTTCCCTGTGTCCTTCAGCTACATTAGAAGCTGACCTTGTGGTCAGCTGTTTCTTTGTGCTCTTGTTTCTCTGTCTCCCCCTTCCTCTTGAGTATGCACTCTGTTGTCCTCTCACCTTCTTGCTTTACTCTAGCCTGCCTCATACTGTCTTTCAGTTTAAATATTTAAAGTGTTCAAGCCCTTTCTGCTCTTGTTTAGAACACTGCTGCTCTGCACTTCATGCAGGACGTGTTAAATAGCCTTCTTCCTACTTGTGTTTCAGGGCTGATAGCAAGTTTTAAAGTAAAATAGAAAGCTGTCAGGGTCGGAAAATCTTCTCAATTTGTTCTTCTCAAAGTATCAAGAAGGTATTTTCCTCCAGTGTTTGTCATTTTCATTAACTATTATCACTTCTAGCTCAAGAACATGAGAAGTATTAATTAATCGTTCTAATTCAGAAGTTCCTTTCTCTGTACCATATAGAAGAACTAAGGTAACAAAATAAGCTTCTTCCCGTCCTCTTGAACTGAGTTTCTCTCTCTGGATCATTTATGTCAATTAAAATAATTTCAACAGAGGCAGATTTTTAAACTGTTCACTGGCTCTTAATACTTCTTATAATCTTACTCAGAGCAGTATGGAAAAGGCAAAATTAACTGAGTGGCTCACTACAGGAAAGCCCTTGTGGCAGATGAAGTACTGCATGATGCAAGTTGGAATTTCTTAAAATTGACACAGCCCCCATTAAAAACTGTCTCACTGACAGTTATTTAGTTGTTAATAAAGGATGCCAGTGGCTGGGATATTTATAGTGTGGTCTCATAGGAAGTTTTTGATTGAGAATAATGATATTTTGAATTATTTTAGCAATTCATTTTTGTAGTAAAGCTGGCAGATGACACAAAGACTGTTGGAAAGGGAGTGGCTGTATCTGCAGGGTATTTAGCTCCTTCAGTATAACTGGAATTGAGAGGGGAAGAAAAGGAGGTGGAGGGGAAAGAATCCTGTGAGTTGTATTTCAAGGAAGTATTCAACATTACTTGAGGAATAAGGCAAGATATACTTTGATCCACCTCCTTGTGTTCTAGTCTAGCAGTGGAGCTGCTGTTATAAAAATAAATAGGATTGCAAATTAAAGGAAGAGGATATCTGTTTGCAGAATGTGATATATGTCAAAAGGATTATGTTACACATATGACTATGTACACACATGATAAACTTTTTTCTTACTCTGATATTTCAGTCTGTGTGTATGAGTTCTCGTGCTGTCCCCCTTCCTTTATGAGCCCTGCAGAAGTTGGAAACATTTGCAGCTCAGAATCAATGAATAACAGAATTACAGAATATTTTGAGTTGGAAGGGACCCATAAGTATCATTGCAGGAAGTACTTATTTTTTTCCCCCAGGAAATAAATTGGTTTCCAGAATCTGTTTAAGCTTTCTCTGAAGCATGCTGGGGACAGTATGGTGATCAAGTGACTCTGTGCTCTGTGGTCATACAGAAAATCCTTTGTGCAGCCTCACTAGTCTGTATTTCTGTCAGGCTTATGTTCACACCATTTACCAGATTTGGAATCAGGGCAAGTTTCCTCCCAAGTGAGCTTGGCAGGGAAAAAGTATATTTGGATATTTAGGAAATGCATCTTGCAAGTCATTGTAGTTGGCAAGGATGTCAGTGTTACAGTCTTGCTTTCTGTATGTCTGTTAAATTCTCCGAAGTTTGGTTTGTTGTTAAACCCTTGGCAGTCTCTGAAGTTTTGCTGTATAAAAAAATTAAATCTGATGACCTAGGGTCTCTCTCCTATGAAATCAAAATGCCTTTTTGTTTGCACCTTCCCACTTTTTTTATCTGCAGCTTGAAAGACGTGCTTATTTTATTGTGTCATACCATAAAAGGACCAGCAGAGCTCTATTATTATTATCCCTCTTCATTCCATTGGGTACAAGGACACATATTCTCTTGTGTCCACAATCTGGTTCTCCAGCACAAACTAGAAGGAAGATGCTTGGTAGAATGACGAAATAAAAATGCATCCTCTCCTCTTTCATTTGTGCCCTTTTTTCTGTATAAATCCATTAGAAGGAAAAAAATGAACTATCAGAGCCTCCTGTACTTCAGGTGTGCCTTTTATGGACACTCTTAGACTTTGGGTCCTTCTGAAAATGCACAGAGTAGAGAGTATATTTTGTAATGGAACATATTTTTTAAAGTTTTTGATTGTTTGTCTGCACAGTGAGTGTTTTCCCGTATTTAAAGAAAAATAAGTTTGGTAGTGTTTACCTTTTAAATAACTTAAATTGATGAGCTTTCAATTTGGTTTTTTAACCAGGGTATTAAGCTGATGAAAGAGCATTAGTAATCACTAGGTGTGCTATGGCTTTATGACTTGAAGAAACCTGTGGTGAAAAGTTATTTTTTATCTGTTACATATTCTCAGCAGAAATTGATAGAAAGCACTTCATATTGATTCCTTGCAGCTGATAAGCATATTTGTCCCAGACCTCATGGTTTGTTGTATGAAAAAAATGTTCCAAATTTGTTTTCTTTTTAGGACTGTATTTTTATATTGGAAGAGAGTTTTGAGGGTTTTCTGTTTTATTTGTTTTTCCTTTCTTCACCTTTGTTATCTATTTTACATTTATCAGATAGCATGGGCAGAGATTGCATGATGAACTAAAAAGTTCAAGTTGATAATTCTAAAAAGTCATATGAAATAAGAGAGCCAAGTCACCTATGATCCTTCACAAAATGAACAAACCAGAAATTTAATTATTCTGAATCTAATAAAAGAATACCAGATATGCTGTTTTTAGTTAAGTGAATTAAATTGCATTAACAATGCACAGAGTTAATTAAATATGTAATTATTATCGTTACTGTTTTGTTTAGTGAGAACTACAGTCATTGAAACAGATGTCTATGTTAACAGCATCGGTCCAGTTGACCCAATCAATATGGTAAGTTCTGATTATTGACAGAAAATATAATCTGCATGTTGCTATGGGTTAATATTATGAAGTAATTCTAATGTCATTAAAATTTTTCTTTATTTCTTACTGTATATTCTTATGTTGTTGGATATGATTGTAGTTACTGCAGAGATACATTTAGTCCCTCTGAAATTGTTGTAATTTTAAAAATAGTTTTTATCTTAAAAAAGTGAGGTCACACAGGGTACATTGTATCAGGTCCTTGTTTTAGTTTGTGTTGAACATTTCCACAATATTTGTGTATATCTGGTTTATCTCTGGCCTGGTTTGATTTCCTGGAGCTACTCTTCAGAGCCTAAGAAAAATAACAATTGACACAGTATTTGAACAAAACTGTTTTCAGTGATCTGTTGTTTGTTTGGCTTTTCTTCAAATTCATAAAAATCAAAATTTGAATTAACTATTTTGTCCTTCTTTTTCCATTTAGTCTTCTGTGTCTTTTCAGTGTGTGTGTGTATACATGACTGGTTTCCTAGAAGTTAAGAAATACATCTCACTTAGTTTGTTGAGATCTGACCTATCTGTTTAGTACCAACACTGAAGTAACAGCATTTATAAGGAAGTTTGGGATGTGGTATTGTCTTAGTTCTCTTAGTTTGTGTGTTGTATGAAATGGTGGAGGCTTTAGAAAGGCCTTTTGGTATGACTTCTACCCAGGACTAATGCCCTCAGGTGATTTTGAGTTTACCTCCTTTACTTCCTCCCTACAGAATTGCTGACAGTATTGAATTTCCATGACAGAGAAAAGTTTTGTTCAGAGGCTAGAGCATGCCAGTGCAGAGGACTTCTGAGAATTTCCAGAGAGTGCAGTAATTCTCAATTATTATTAGGGATCTTTTGGTTTAGACATATGTCATCATGTGGGGGTGGAGAACAGCGACTTTCAATGACAGGAAGCCAAGCAAGAAAATCCAGTGGTACTTAGATACTGTGGGAAAAGATGCAGGTCTGTGGCAGGTCATTCTAGCATAAAGGTCTAACCAGCTTAGGGTTGGCATTGCCTGGGGCTGTGGCAGGGAAGTCCGTGTCTCAGGCCAGGACTGCATGTAATGAAATCTGTGATAGAGCATAAGAGTGACCGAGTGGTGAATGTTTTCCAGCTTCCATGTCCGGTGTAAGTGGTGTCTTTTGCTTCTCTCTGTCTAATCCTCTTTGTCTTTCTCTTTTGCTTCTCTCTGTCTAATCCTCTTCTGAATGAACTTACTGTGGAAGCAAACTGGGAAGATGTGTAAGGAGGATCTAGCAAGTGGTAGAGACGTCTTTTTCCAGTAACCTAAGTAAACTTTTCACCCTGTGGCCAGTAGGTATTGCATGCACTGGAACTGAACATGAGCTATGCTTACAGCTTCAGTTTTCTAGTTTTAGAGAGCCAGCACATGGCTGGCTTTGCAGAACAATCCTACCCCTTCTCCCATGCCATCCTCTTGTCTTTGCAGCCACTGGACAGCCTTCCAGCTATGGCTCAGCTATGAACCATGACCTCTCGTGTGCCCACAGCTTCCTTCTGCTCACTCAGCCCAGGTCCTGGGAGTACCAGCCGTGGAACTATTGCATGTCAGTTGTTTAGGGGTCTCGCCACATCTGCTAGAGCTGTGCTAGACCTGGGTGGTGATGTCCTCGTCATACTGCTAGTAAAATCCAGCCTTGTTAACTTATAGTGCAAGGTAATGACTGGCATTCTACTGAAAAGGCATATTACTTAATAGAGAGTGGGATCCTAATAGCTAATAATGGATGTTTCTCTCCAACCTTCTGATTTCCCTTTAAAGAAAAAAAATATAATGAAACATACCACTAAAAGGTAATAAGGTAAATGTTACTAAGACATAGAACTTTAAAAACTATTCTACGCTTTTAAAAAATGGACAGAAAGCTACTTAGCAATTAAAATTACAGTCTAAAACTACTGTGGCCCTCATAAAAGGGCAAGTGCTTTCACTGGGTTTGCACTTCAAGAACATGACTTGTATGAGCAGCTAACCTCAGTACAGAGACCAAACCTTTGTAAAAATAAGTAAAACCATATACTTGAAAAGAATTTGATTAAGGTTTCCCAAAAAAAGTTTTTATTCTGGGAAACAACAGTCTCAGCAAAATAAATAATAACAAATTTTACCCTGTAAGCGCCTTTAATGTGAGCTGTTGATTTCATTAGGAAGGCGCTTTCCCTGGAGTCAGTATTGTTTGAGATTTTTAACTAATAATCCAAAATTTGCTTCCATTTCAAGAGCTGTCCTTAGCCCCTGATTTGATCACCTAACTAAGAGAATACATTTTCTGGGATTTCCAATCCCCATTGGATTACTCCTTTGCCAGATACGTTAATTCACTTTGGCAAATGATGTCCTTTAACTATCAAGTTTGGATACAATATGGCATGACCTAGAGGGTATTTTTTCTGACAGTGATGCTGAAGCAGCATATCTGGGAGTATGTTTGTCTGAAAGCTTTAGAGAACACATACTATGAGAAGAAACAGATTTGTTTTTGTAATTGCCTGTTTTCCTTTTGCTGTTTGATAAACTTTCACTTTCATAAATTAGGTCTATGCATGGCATTCATTAGAGTTTGTTTTTGAAGGTGTTGTATTTTGGCTTTTACTATTTAGCAAGATCTACACAACATTTTAAATTCTGTAGTCCCCCCATGATTAAGACACGTTTTCCTAGAGCTTGTGATCTCTTCAGGCATCTGCATCCTGAATAAAAACTTCAAACAAGTGTCTGGATCACTAGAGTACTTAGGCTTATAATACTAAGCCTAAAGATTTTTGAAGCTGTCTTTTAGAGCTAATCTGTGCTATGTATTGTGCAACAACCATGTAAGATGCAGCTACGTGCCATTACGTGGCACATTCAGGACTACCAGGGTATCAAGTCCAGCCAACATGGGCTTGTGAAAGTAAGGTCCAGGTTGATCAACCAAATCTCCTCCTATGACAAACTGACCAGCTTAGCAGATGAGGGAAAGGCTGTGTTCTGTCTAGACTTCAGTAAAATATTTGACGCCATCTCCCACAGCATCCTCCTGGAAAAACTGGCAGCTTCCTGAATGAAAGGAAGATCATGAGGGATGCACTTTGGCCCATACTTGAGAATTTATGAGGTTTCCTAAAGGTTGTGTGGATTCAGTGTGCAAGCAACGGAAATTTTTGGAAAGTCAAGTATATGCACTTCATGCAAATTGGTTTAATTCTCTTTCAAATGGCAGGAATTCTGTGATCAATTTGTTCATAAGACAGGACAAAAGTACCAATGGGTCTTTGAATATTACCTGTTTCTTATTGTACAGTATCTTCTTTAAAATAAGTTAGAATTATATTTTTTTTTCCAAGCGTACATTTTTATTTCAGTTAGGGAAGATAGATTCCAATCATTGTGGTGCCTGTCAGCACTGCTAGTGATCATGGTTAATTGGCTTACTCAGATGACTGAGATTGATGGATGCTGTTCATGTACAGCAGCTGAGTAAATATTTTTTTCAGTAGCTTTGAGCATTGTGGGTTTTTTTAATGGAATATACTTAAAAGTCAAACCAAATATTTCTGCTAGCATATTTCTAGCAGAATATTTCTTATGTTACCATCTCTAGAAATTGAGTAATATTTCACAAGTACAATTTAATGATTGTTCTCTCTTTTTTTTATTTCCCAAAAAGATTGGCTTTAATTGATTAATCTGGTTCTTGCAGTTTGATTACTGCTATTGGAAAATAACCTCAAATACCTCTAAGATGGTCTTGTTCTGGGAGAATTGGCTAAATACATGCAGTATCCTGCTCATACTGGGACAGCCTAGCAGTTCCTTTTTGGCAGTTGGTCCCAATTCCTGTGATCAATTTGAAGGGAATGGTGAGGAGTGAGGGAAAATGCAGTTACTGTACAGGTAATGTACTGAACAGTTACTGTACAGAAAATACATTTACAGTACTGTACTGTACTGACAAATGTTGCTGTAGCCTTCTGAAACTGAAGCAGAGAACAGTCATCTTTTCAGTCCCAATTCTAAACAGCATTCAGTATTTTTCCTGTTTTCAGCTGCAGTTTACCAGTTGTCCATTAATAAATGGGAAGCCAGGAGAGGTACTGAATTTTCCACACAAGTGACTAGGAAAATCCATGCTCTTTTCTGTAAAATATGGCCTAATTTCTATGTGCATTGCTATGTAAGGCCACAGTCTTTTTTGTGCTGGGGTTGGTTCTTAAATCTTAGATTAGTTCATGCTTTAGGAAATACTGGTTTCGTATTGTACCACTGCATCACTTAAGCCACAGCTGGCACGGTTGCAGTAATGATAATAATCAATGTAGTAGTAGTGGTACACCTACTACAACTACTGTTTATTTTTATTCACTCCCCTGTTTTCAGTGGAGTGTGCCAGCATACTGTTTGGAAATCCTGTTTGTATTGTTTCAGATTCATAGCATTCACAGCCAGAGCAATACCAAACTGCCTCTGAAGTTCCTGAGATTTCAGACGTAAGTGCTCTGTAGTTGCACAGGGCCAATCTGTGATTCTGTAATTTGCTAAAGAAATGGCAGGAGTGCTGAGCTGTGGATGTGGATAGGGCCAGACAACAATTCTGAAAAAGCTTCCTTTTTTTCTGTGGTCAGTCTGTCAATGCGTCATGATAAAGTCTCTTAGTTTCTTGTGTTCATAACAGTTGATCTATTTAAGTATTGATGTGAATGTATTTCTTAAAGCTTTTCCTTTGTTGCTTCTGCACAGTATGTCTTCCACAGTCACCTTTTCTTCTCCTGTGCTCAGTTCCTTCTTGGAAGTTTCATGCACAAATTTAGCCACCTTTCTTTGTCAATAGCTTGCTATTCTTTGTCTCCTTTTGTCCTAAGGAGTCTAAATTCTGTCCTGTGTCACTCATATGTGTTCACAGTTGTTTTGCTAGCTCAATATGGCTGAATCACAGCTTTAAAGCTTTCAAATTTTCACCTCTTATTCACTCTCAGTTGC